TTCTTTCTAACAATCAACTATAATAATATCTCAAATTGTTAAGTTCCAAGTTACGGGAATGAGTCATATGTCCAATTCTTTGAGTTGTAGGCTCCGTGAGGAAACTTTTGATATACGTGATACAATCTTCCTAGTTAGCACTACTACGAATAACATCTCTTATCTCGATTGAAAATTGGGTTTTAAATAAGTTCCATATGCAAGCTAACGAATGGCATCATAAAAGTTGTTGGTAGGTAGTGATACAATCTTCCTAGTTGTCATTATATATATATATATATATATATATATATATATATATATATATATATATATATATATATATATATATATATATATATATATATATATATATATATATATATATATATATATATATATATATATATATATATATATATATATATATATATATATATATATATATATATATATATATATATATATATATATATATATATATATATATATATATATATATATATATATATATATATCACAATTTTACATTATGTTTAATTAACTCTCCAAATATAATTTCGAAGAAGAATCCTAAAACGTCTTCATCACCATCCTTGTAAATTTTGGTGAAGAACAAATGCTGGAATTTGTAGCATATCCATATATTGCAATATATTCACTATTGCTTCCCATTCATTTGTTTTTGATATAAAATTAACAATTGTTAGATAGGGAAAATTAATAATCATGTATAAAGATAAGAGATTTATAAAGAACAAAAACCTTACACCAATATTATTTTATTGTGGAGAAGTAGAAAAAGTTATATTACTTGGAAAATGAAGACGTGCTCTATTTCAGAGGAGAAGCGAGAGGGTGGATTTTGTACCTTTTGTAGATATCTTATCAGCTAAGGTTCCTTGGCTTGGTACTTCCTAGAGACTTGGTTGGCGAAAAACTGGGAGTCACTTTTGGCCTTCAACCTGGAGTCTCCCATTTCTAAGGCAAAAATGATTTCGGAGATGAGAACTTAGTACTCCGTCTGGTTATCGCAGGAGGTGAACTTGAATTTTAAAGCTTGCTCGATGAGTATGTCACCAAATCCTTCTAGGATTATCACGACACTGCTCCTTTTTATGTTAGAGACACCACTTACATATAACGCCCACTCTGTGGGGGTCTCCTAGTCTATGGGCGAGATAAATTATGTCACAAAATCTTCTAGAGCTTGTGACTTGATTTTTCCCCTCAGGACATTTTAAATGTCATATTCTAAGAGTTCCACTGTCAAGGATACCATCATCCCTAATAGATCAGGCTTCTTCAAGACTTTCCAAACAGGATAGTTGGTTTTTACATGGATCTCGTGACCCTAAAAGCATGGTCTCAATTTCCTTATTGCAATGAAGACGGCTAGCATCAGATTCGCAATCTTCTTATAGTGCATTTTAGTGCCTATGAACACTTTGATTACAAAATACACAAGTTTCTCCACCCATTCAATTTCTAGGACAAGGACTAAGCTCATCGCCTGATCCGTGAACGAGAGGTAGAGTAGCAACGACGACCCATCTCTCGGACGAGTTAGGATAGGAGGAAATGTGAGGAATTTCTTGACTTTGGTGAAATCCTCATCACACTCAAGGGTCCACTCAAACCTCTCTTTCTTATTTAAGCCAACGACGAAAAGGAAGGCTTTGGTCGCCTACACAGAAAAAGAAGCAAGATAGAGCGGTGAAGCGACTTGTAAGATGTCGTATTTTCTTTACGTTGGTAGAGCTCCTCATTGTGATGATTGCTTGGTATTTATCTGGGTTGGCCTCGATACTCTTACGTGTCAGCATGAAGCCTAGAAATTACCCTGGTTGGACCACGAAAGAGCACTTGGCGGGGTTTAGGCACATATCATACTTCCTGACTGACTACAGGACGTCTTTCAAATCCTATGCGTGGCTAAGCCCTTCGATGGTCTTAATTATCATCTCATCGACATAGACTTCTAGGTTTTTCCCTATCTGGTGGGCAAAGACAGCATCCATGAGTTGCTGGTAGGTAGTGACATCGTTCTTAAGGTCGAAAGGCATGGCATTGTAGTAGTAGTTGCTATCATTCGACATGAAGGTTATTTTAGGCGCGTCTAAAAGATCCATCTGAATATGGTTGTACCCCGAGTACGCATCCATAAATCCTAACATGCAATAAACCGATGATTCGTCAATGAGGTTTTCGATGTTTGGTAGTGGGTACGGATCTTTAGAGCAGATGGCGTTCAGGTCTATGAAATCTACACACATGCGTCATTTGTTATTAGCTTTGTATACTATAACCAAATTGGCTAGCCAGATAGGACATTTCATTTTTGTGATGAACCTGACATCAAATAGCTTTCCCACTTCTTCATCAGTGAAGAACCTCTTCTCCTTGCCAACTTTTCGGGCATGCAAAAGGGTGGATGACGAGGCGATGACTCACCACTTTGGTGTTTATTCCTGATATGTCGGAGGGAGCCTTAGAGAACAGGTTAACATTATTAATGAGTTGGTTAACTAGTTCTTGTTCGTCCTTTATGGACATCGAAGTACTTATCTCCGTCACCTAATGGGCGTGAGTCTTTCAGCTATCTAGACCAATTTCATATTTTTAATTGGAGTGAGCCATTTGGCTTCCGCGCCCAATCTGGGTTCCAAAAACTCGAAGTAAGTATTTGGAAATTCTGAAGGAGGAATATCAACAAGGGCGAGCTCTTATTAGTTGTCTCTAGGCTACTCTGATAACACTTTCTAGTTGCTTGTTGGTCTCCCTAGACTGTACCGACTCGCCTATCACAAAGCGAATCTTTTAAGGTCAGGTACAGTGTTGACACGACTACACCCAAGGCTTTGATAGTCAGTCACCCCAGAATGATGTGTTAAGGTGATAAAATGCTTATAATAAGGTAGCTAATGTCAATTGCTTTGGCTCCCCCTATTCACACACGATTTTCAGGGTTATGCGGCACATTATTTGTACTTGTTCAACTGATAACCCCGTTAAAGAACAACTAAACATTTTTATGTCACTTGGGTTAAGTTGTAGTTTCTAAAAGGCATCCCAGAACAGGATATCAGTAAAGCTACCATGTCTATTAGAATTCGCCTAATGTCCCAATTGCCATGTTGCACAGTGATGACCAAAGGGTCATCATAATGAGGGGGTCAGACTAAGTGCGTCCTCTTCGAAAACATGATAACAATCCCCATTTTTTCTTGAGAATTTCTAGGGAGGCTAGGGGATATTACATTTGTCGTAAGCACGTGCCTTGTGTATTTTCTCAGGGAAGATATAGAGTTACCTCCGCATCGGTGAAACCTTTGATGATGGTGTTTGTGTTATAAGTTGTGGTTTTGTTGGCCATCTTCAGTGGGAAGATAAAGGGAATTATAGTAGGAGTGTGGCCCATGTTAGTTTTACGGGGTCCCCACAGTGGGCGCCACTATACTTATCAAAAAATAGATATGTGCGTGTTCCCCTTAGAAGGGGAGGAAGACTTGAAGGCCTTAATAGATTTATAACACAATATGGTGGTTAAGGTTTGCACACGACGGTGAGAAGTCATGTACAATGGTGTTTTGAGGTAGTTTATGAGTCTTACTCGCGTGAAGTGAGAGGTTTTTTTGATGGCCAGTGAGGCTTGAAGCAAGCGTATGGTTATGGTTAATTGTGGTGTTATGGATTTAGCAAGCGCTATGCCCTTTTGAGGTGTACAAAATCAGTCTCATCTCCCATGCATGAGAGATGTATTTATATAGGCCTTTAAGGTCTAGGATTCTCTTAGAAAGAGTCACCACCCACTCAGTCAATGGTAGATCATTGAATCCATATTTTCTAAAAAGTCATGGATGACTTTGACTTCTCTCTACCCCATAAACATCTTATCATGTATTTTCCACTAGCAAATGATAGGAAAGTCCTCGGGTGAGGCGATACCTGCCTTTGGGCGACATTCCTACGCCACGCTCTTATAAAGTTGTCTAAAGGGTTTGCTTAGGCCTTTAGAATTTATATATATATATATATATATATATATATATATATATATATATATATATATATATATATATATATATATATATATATATTCGATGATATTTATATCTTTTAATATTATTTATTAATTTAATTTAATTATTTTTATTTTTATGTTTATTTTTACTATAATCAATCATTCTTGTTTTGTGATATTAATTTTTAACATATTATATATTATATAATATATCATACATATTATTTACTAATATTTTATAATTTTAATTAAAAAAAAATAATTTATAGTTTGAATATTTTGAAAATATTCAAATTAAATGCACAAAATTGAATTGAATCGGATAATATTTCTTAACAATCATCTAAAACTATATTGAATTGTAAATAAATTTATTTTAAAATTAGAATAATTTTTATTTCAAAACTGAACCATCTTTCTTCACATTATCAAGATGTATAAAAAACTAGACATTTTTATATGATTGCATGTATTTATATTATGCTTAATTATATATTTAAACGTAATATAATCATATTTTAAAAGTTTATATTATATACAAGGTCACAGTAAATATTTTATATACATAATAATAATCAGAACTGTTATATCTACCTAAATTATGACAACGTATCCCTTATACACTGTAGCCGTATACATTAACTTCATAAAAATAATAAAAATAATAAAAGTGAACTGTATGATATATACATACGATCAAATTGGGGTGTAACTATATCATTTCTGAATAATAATAGTAGTATAATAGATAAAGTTTCAGCCGTAACGGATTCGCAGTTATCCTGGCAATGACGTTTTCTACACCTACTATCCATCCGTTTACTGCCAGGGAGACAAAAAGGACCTCCGTTCCCTGCGGTTATTTTATTAATATATAACTAAATCTGAACCGTTCATCGCAATCATTACCCTCGTAAACATTTCTATAAGATCACTCTCTTTTTAAGCTCCTTCTTCTCAAAATACCAAAACCCAATTCACACCAACAAAATAAACAATGGGAGATCGTAAACGCTCTTCTCCAACAATCCTAACCATAAACGAAGCTTCTCCAAACGGAACCTCCATTTCCAAGAAAAGAAAAATCACTGCATCTTCTTCGCACTTGCATCACCAAAGTATCTCGTCGGTAAATTCCGTGAATTCCGCTGCCACAGTGTCTTCCGACGAATTTCACTCGGATCACACTCCGCTGCCTCGTTTCAGCTCCGGCAAGGTTATCGAAACCTGCAACGTCGTTAAGGAACGCGACACGTCGTCGTTAGATCCGGAGGTTCGTTTCTCCGAATTCTGATTTCTCTAAATGAACTTTCGTTTTCGAATTCTTCAGTTTCTTTTTTCATAATTTTTTTTTTTTGGATTCCAAATTCGTCTTTCTCTATGCTTTATTTAACTAACCTATTTAATTTTTTTATTTGTAATAATTTACTTTATCTATAGTTTATAAATATACGCGAATTAATGTAATAATATATATCTATAATTCTATATATCCAGCAGCTGATGAAAACAAAGAATTTCGAAACGGTAGACTTAAACGCAACGAAACGCAATTTGAAGTCGTCCAGGTTTTTATTCCACTTTCTCTTTCCATTTCACGTTCAATTTTCTAACAAAATATTGTGACTCACTCGTCAAATCTTACCTATATATTTTTTTTCTATTTTTAGGGAGGACGAGATTGATGAATTCTTTGCAAAGTTCGAGAGGGAGGAACAAAAACTGTTCTCTGAAAAGTAAGTATAAAATAATATCTTGTTACTATAGTCATTTGCCAAAAAGTTTTCACTTGCAGATCAATTTTAAAACTTTTATCACCGGTAAGTTTTAAGGATAATAATTTTAAAAAATATATAAATTAAATGTGCTAGGTAAGATTTCAATTTTTACTTTAAAAATGGTGACACAGGATAAGGAATGTGAGCACTGCAGTTATAGCGATGAAGTATTGGCAGAGTCTCCCGTAACTAACTAGCATTTGTTTGTATTGCAGGTACAACTTTGATATTGTTAGGGATATGCCGTTGGAGGGTCGTTACGAGTGGGTTAATTTACATTGAAGGTCATGAATGAGAGAGAGAAATAGAGTGCGTGCGTTTTTAGTTTTATAGTCAGAGTCAGAAAAAGTTATGGAGGGTGAATTAGGGGAGAGAGGATAGGGATAGGGTGAGAGTAGTGGTGCCCAGAGGTGATAGGTGAACAACCGGTATAAGGAAACTAATCTGACACAAGGTTAAAGGTAATTGACCGTGCAATATATAAGACGGTGATGCACTTGAATAATGGTTAGGATTTTGTACAGGTATAAATTATGTATATGCAACTGCTTAATTTCTTTTTAGGTTGGATTCAACAAGGTGACTACTTTTCTGCTCATAGATAAAACTATTGAAAATCTTGTTATATTAATTTCTTCAGGTTAATTAACTGTTACAGTGGCAGCGTGTTTGTTTTCAGTACAATAAGTTATATACATTATTGAATCTACTATTGGAATTATATTGGGACTTCCTTTTTGGTGCACGTTTCCTCATTGGCTTTCCGCAGCTTCAACTGCTTTCATTTTTATTTTTATGTATGGAATATGGAATATGGGAATATGGAATACTCTTTTTTTTCCTCTCTATTTGGAATATCCTCTAGATCCCAAGCTATGATGCCACAACTCAGTGTGGGTGGGGACCACATCTATTGCCTGTCGCATGTATATAAAATGACTGCGTAAACTAATTAATTTTTCATTGTTTTTTTTCATTATTTGTCTATAAGACTATCTTTACTGGGAATAAATTAAATTGATAAACTAAAATATTTTTGGTGGATCTAAACTGATTTGTAAGATTTTAAAAATTTATAGTTGATTTGAGTTGTTTTTACTTTAATTATGGTTACTTGTAAAAAACCAAAATTTAACAATCTATTAGTTTATAACACAAATGATATATATACTTAATGAATTGTTAGTTCAGTTACTGCTATGTCATTCTTATTCCAATGCAAATTGTTTATAGGTACTGTTACTATTAAAAAATTTAATATTGCAGAACCTACAGTAAAGATATTTTAACTAATTGACTCTTGCAATCGCTGCTTAATGATTATAAAATAGTAGTAAATACGTAATTGGTAAATTGTTTAACAACCTATTAGTTTATAACACAAATGATATATATACTTAATTAATTAATTAATTAATAGTATTTAAATAATTAATAGTTAAATCATGTAATAAATATATGAAAAAACATATAAGTGATTTTTTAACTAATATTTATGTGATTTCAATCAAGATAACAAAAACATAAATTTGTTAAAGTTTAAAATTATATGTAGTAATACTATGTCAATCTTAACTCATTTATTATAATGGAGGGAATATAACTCTCATATATAATTTGAGTTACGATATGTTGCCAACATGAGTTAAACTTAATACAACTACATATTTTCAAAACTCAAACTAAATCAATTCAACCATTAAATCATTTAAAATCATTATCATGATCATACATATAAAATTTCAAATAATTTAAGTACTTGATATATATTCTAGCAGTTAATATTTATTTATAATTTAAATAATTTATTATAAATTGGAACAAAATGTTGAAATAAAATATCACATAAATTTTAAATTCTATAATATTTTATAGACTTCATTTACTTAATAATAATTATCAATCAATTGTTAAATTGATTTAATTTATTATTATTATTTTAAATTACTGAAAGATATAAATATGTACTAAGCTTCACACCAACAAATTTAACTATATATATCTTACTACTACTAACATGCACAACCTTAGCTGTCAAAAGAAGAACATGCACAAAATTAACAACCACTAACAATGACAACCGAACCTGCAACCTATACCATATATAATATAAGGACTTAGTTAGTTCTCTATCCATCCATGGACCAACCCTACATCTCATTCAATTTATGGATATGTTTGGTTAACTAATAGATACCATGTTCATATTTGCATTCTTTACGTGGAGTTAACTTTGTTAAAATGAACCTAATGCGTATGAGAGAATCTAGCCCAATTTATAACTTTTGGATTGATCTTCAAATATTAGAAGTTGCTAAATATGTACGTTTATTACTTAAATTAGTTATTAATGGCAAAAAAAAACTATTTCATGCCTTAAATTGAAAGCGAACTTTTAACACTCCACATGACAGTCACAATCAACATATTCTCACTCACTAAGCAAATTAGCAAATGCTTTTGTCTTTTACGTATATAGAGGTGACATAATATTCGTTATATAAGAAAGGTTTCATATGAATTATATGACTGCTGAGGTAAATGTCGAAACGAGGAAAAACTAATTAACCAAAAAGGAACAAAGTTTGTAGCTCCCATGTAGAATGTCATGATTACACACGTGTCCAAAATGGGAACACCACAACCTTTATTTATACATGTCATCATGGAGCCAAATGTGCTATTTCCAGATTCCAGTGTTTAATCTCCTTTTTTATGTGACGATCTAAACAAAACAATAGAATAAAAGATATGAATGATGAAAGTAGAAGACTTTGCACATGGTATGGTGGAGTATTATCGTGAGGTTTAATTTGCTTTGGATCTGATGTGCTATTTTAAATTACAATGCACAACACACAAGAGAGATAGTATGTTCATAGAAAACACACAAGAGATATCATATGGATTTTTTTTCTCACTAGTATTGAAAAGAAAATTACTCTAATACTCTTGGTTTTATCTAAGGAATTTATATGACATAGCATATTATGTGTTTGGGAATAAATATATTTATAAGGATGCTCACTTTTAAGATGATTATTTAACTGATTTTATTAATAAAATGAATTTTATTTATTAAAACATTTTTATTAGTTATAGTTAATAGTGTAGTTAGGAGAAATAAATATTGATATTTTGAATAAACAAATATTTTAAAGTATAGAAATATTATAAAAATGTTACTCTATCCTAATATATGAGAAAAAATAATAATATTTATTAAGAAAAAGAAAATATAATAATTTGAATTAAGATTTTTTATATATTTTAAAATAAACTTCATATGTGAAAACGAGTTTAATTGATATATAAATATTTATTAAAAAAAAGAATGAGAGAGAACATTATTTAAGTGTTTGAAAAATGTCAAATACATTGTACTAAAAAAGTTATTTCATTATTTGTCTGTTGTATCAAATAATAACATAGTTCACATTAATTTTTAGCTTGTAGTTATTCTGTTAGTTCATTTTTCTGCATTACAGTTTGTTACCGTTACACTAGAGTCTATTATAAATACTCCAACTGCTCCTTTATACATAATGTATCATAAATCGAATAATATTGAGTTTCTTTCTTTTCTCCTCAATACAAATAGAAACATTAGATTTCAAAATCTTGATATAGTATCAAGTTACATCATTTCTTCTTCTTTCCTCACGTGTTTTTTGATATACTCTATCACCTACTCTCACCACGTGTCCTTTCCTCCTTTGCTCTTCAGATTTCACTCACCCAAAACTTTCTCTCTCTCTCTCTCTCTCTCTCTCTCTCTCTCTCTCTCTCTCTCTCTCTCTCTCTCTCTCTCTCTCTCTCTCTCTCTCTCTCTCTCTCTCTCTCTCTCTCCACTCTTTTTTCCTTTTTCTCTCTTCGTTCCAAGAAACCCTTTTTCCCTTTCTCCTTTCTGGCAATTTTTCTTCTTTCTTCTTCCCCACTAAAATCCTAAATTTCTCCCTTTTCCCAAATTTCATCATTGTTCCTTCATCTTTATCCTTCCAACCTCTCTCCCTTTCATCCATGGCGGAAAACCCCTTTGCTGATTTCACAATGAATCCCTCAAACCCCTACTACCTTCATTCGAATGAAAACCCCTTGCTTGTTCTTGTTTCGCCGCTGCTCGACCACACCAACTATATCTCTTGGTCCCGATCAATGCATGTTGCTCTAATCTCCAAGAATAAACTTAGGTTTATCGATGGCACATTTGATCCAGCTGCTCAAGGTCACACCTTATACGATCCATGGCTCCGCTGCAACAATATGGTACTATCTTGGCTTCAACGTTCTATTTTTGAGAATATTGCTCAAACAATCTTGCGGATCGATAATGCTCGCGCCGTGTGAACCAACCTCGCCACCAAATTTTCTCAGGGTGACATCTTCAAGGTCTCTCATCTTCAAGACGACCTCAACAATCTCAACTAGGGAACCCTAGACATTTCGACCTATTTCACCAAACTCACTCTCTTTGGGAGAAAATCAATTCTCTTCGACGTACTCGTGATTGCACTTGTGCAATCCCCTGTACCTGTGGTGCAGCTTCAGATCTTCGACACAAAATAGATCAAGATCGCGTGCTAAAATTCCTCAAAGGTCTTAATGATTCTTTTTCCACGGTTCGTTCACAAATTTTTCTTTTAGAACCTTTACTTTCTCTTGAGAAAACCTTCTCTTTGGTTCTTGGTCAGGAACGGAGGGCCCTTATCCCACCTGTTGATACTGCAGAAAACCACTTTATGGCTATGCAAATTCAATCACACTCCCATTCTGGGAGAGCTCTAAGTTCTTCATGTGGTCAGGGTAGATCTTCCCCTGGACATGGCAATATACCCCAACGAATTTGCACTCATTGTGGACGTCATAATCACACAGTGGAAACTTGTTTCATGAAGCATGGTTACCCACCGGGATACCACTACAAGAGCTCTAAGTCCTCTATTAACAATACTGCCGAATCACCTTCAAATGAAAACACTTCTGCTTCTCAGATGAATCATCAGCAATCATTAGCTTCTATTCAAACTCAATACAATCACATCATTCAACTGCTTCAACAACACCAACTTTCTCCAAGTCCTTCTATACCTGATGGTAATTTTCTCCCCAATGTCAATTTCATCACCACTTTCAAAGATGGTAAACCATATGTATCTTGGGTAATCGATGCAGGTGCTAATCACCATATTACTCCTAATTTGCATCATTTTAGTTTTCATTCATTTGTCCCTCCCTTACACATGAAACTTCCTAATGGTACCATTGTCACCACCAACATTGCT